CTGCTGCTGTCCTTCAATGCTCAGCTTACCCAGCTAGATGTCCACCGGGCGGGAGTGGACGGCTTAGGCCTTGCACCGGTGGACAATTGCTAGCGTTTCCATGGCAATATTGTTTGTGACTCTATTTGTCACGGGGCTTTCTGCACATGCCACTGGTGGGTCCACTGCCACAGATCACTGCTGTGACCCTGTCAGCCAGGGGAGGTGCTGATGCAGCCACGATGATGATGGAGGTGCTCCGAGGCACTTCACCACTGCAGCCTGGGTGGAGGTCATGACAGATATCCCATAGTGCTGCTACAAAGAACAAGGGCAAAATGCATAGAGTACAGGCTGTGGTTAGCTCAGTGGTTCATGACCTGTCCGACCTGTGGAGGGGTACAGTCAGACAGGGGAGGAGCCACACAGGTGTATCACACCAACCTCCTTAAAGGATGGAGAGAGGCTGTGATGAGTCGGGGCCCCCCTCCCTCCGTTGACCGTCTCACACAGCTGTGTTCTCCCCTCTGCGTGGCCTCGTGGAGCCTTTTGTTTCGCACCCTGTGACGGTGCGTTCATGACCCTGTCAGTTACACAAAAGAAAGAAATGGCTGAAATGCTGAAGATGGAAGTAACAGACGAGTCGCACATCACCTTCCTTCACTACATCGTCCTTGTAGTGAAGGAAGTGTTGACTGCTGCAGGGTACATGAAGGATCAGTGTGCTGTGCCCCAGGCTGGGCACTGCGCTGTTTTTCTGCTGGCAGATTGCCGTGTCTCCAGACTCTAAGGGAAAGCGTCCTTCTCCGCTCCGTACAGCGTGGTTCGTCACATGTGTTCGACTTTTTCAGAGCCCCAGCCACGGTGCAGTGCCACGTGGCCACGCAGGTGCACCTGCAGATGGATGAAACAGCAGAGTCATATCCTGCCTGCATCCCAAGGTGCCGCGGTTCTTCCGGGCTAGCTGGTTACTACCACCAGTTTGTGCTGAACTTTGCAGACCTGACCAAAAGGGTGGCTCCAATCTGGTCTAGTGGATGGAGCAGTGCCAGGCAGCGTGCAGGCGAGGAAGGCCCTCTGTGGGGAAGCCCTGCTTCTGCAGACGGACACCTTGAACAGAGCCTGGGGCCGTTTTGTCCCCGCAGGTAGGGTGGACCACTCTGTCATTTACATCAGCTGGAGCCTGTCAGAGTGGGAGCAGCACCGTTGAGTTGGAGGGTCTGGCAGTGACTCCGCCTCTGTTACCTCCCAGGCTGTGTTTTCCTGTGTTTTTAACTCAGTGGGGGTTTTCAGAGGATCATAAGCAGGGATGTGAACCATGAGGCCTGGAGGTCAGAGTCGGGCCAACAAAGACTCCAGTGAGGCACTGTGGGCTGCTTTGGGAAAGGGCACATACGATTTCAGCGTGTAACTGTATTTTTACAGGTTTATAGCAGGGCTGGGCGATGTGGCCTACAGCCCGTACCGTGGTCTAACTTGAAGCATGTGCCGTAACGACATATATCACCATATGTCTTCTGTACAGCGCTCCCTCGCTATAACCTGGTTCACCTTTCGCTGTTTCGTCTTTTTTCTCCTGCATGCTGTTTTTTGGGGTTTTTACAGCTTATTGTGTTCTGCGTCCTGATTGGCTGTA